TGNNGTAGTGTNNNNGTTTTGNNAGGGGGGGGGGACATACCTGTTCACATTTCCCTTTTGCCCTCAGCAAAAAATCGTCTAGAACCATTTCACGAAGATCGCTCAGGCCAGAACGGCTTCCATCATCTGTTATTCTAGGGCCAAGCTGTGAGTGACGCGATCTTGATGGACTGCCTGGGTTTCTTGCATCACGAATGGGGGCAAAACCATCACTATCGTCGTCATCTTCATCATCTTCTGTTTGCACCTTGCGACTTCTCCGATCTTGCATGCGCAAATGAGATGGGCCTCGAATTGGCGAAGACACATTGGTGGATTCTGGCTGATCATCTCTCGCGACTCGAACACCAGTAAAGTTCGTGTCAACCCGTCGGGTAGTAGTTGCTTTGCCAGGAGTGATACGTATCGGCAGCTCCGTCTTGTGCCGACCAGTCTTGAACCGTTGAGCATTTCGTCCCAGCTTGACGTGCTGAACAGCGAATCCTCGTTGATTGGGTACGTTGTGTTCTTCAATCGCATCTTCATAAAGGAGATGTCTAAACAATCGTTCAACATCGCCACGTTCAAGTTCACTCCCGTATCCAAATTCTGGAAGTTGAGAGAACTCTGACTGGCGTGGATAACCTCTGAAGGCATCTACACACGCCAGGACTGTCACTTTCGCGCTTTCCAGATTTCCAACAAGCCTAACAGCAGCAGCAGCATGCTGCGTAAAGTCACGAATTTCAAATGTGAAGTCAGATTTGCAGTTATCACATGTCCTGTTACAGTCTTCTCGTTTAAATTTCTCGTCAAAATATGCGAGAATTTGAGCACGTCTGCAATCCGTGATGTTTTCACAAAACTGGGTGACGTGACGTAGCATCTGTCGCTGGCGTTGTTTTTGTTCATGGGTAGTCTCCTTGTTTTTCTTGATCATGTAACCTATCGAAGTAGAATCATAGTAGGCGTAGTAGAGATAGCATTCAGATCGTTTGCCATCTCTACCAGCCCGGCCAGTTTCCTGGTAATACCCTTCCAGGCTCTGTGGAATTGAGTGGTGAATAACAAAGCGCACATCAGCCTTATCTATTCCCATCCCAAAAGCGATTGTCGCAACGATAACATTATGTTTTCCTGACTGCCAATCTCTTTGAACTGTAAACCGGTCCTTTGAGCTCAGCCCGGCATGGTAATGAGCCGCCTTGACGCCAAATTTGGAGGAGAGCTGCATAGCTACCCTTTCGCAAGTTTTTCTCGAGAGGCAGTATATTATTCCACATTTGTCAGGGTAATCATTTGTAATAAGATCGGCGATATCTTTGAGTGCATCTTGGGCTCTTCCCTTCTTTCGCACTTCGTACGTCAGATTTGGGCGGTTAAACGATTGAGTAAAAACTTCACACCCCTTCATCCGCAAGTTGTGTATAACGTCAACTTGGACATTTGGGGTTGCCGTGGCAGTCAATGCCATTACTGGGACACCAGAATACTTTTCTCTCATCGTACCCAGCGCAGTATAATCTGGTCGGAAGTCATGGCCCCACTGACTGACACAGTGAGCTTCATCAATAACTATGCGAGCAAGCTTATCGTTACTATGGAGTTGAAGCAATACGCTTTCCATGGCACGGCTTTTGGCAAGCATTTCGGGTGTAACGTAGAGCAATTGAATAAGTGAGTCGGCTCGGAGGCTCCGGAGATTGTTCATAATCGTAGCTCGTTCATCCTTTGACACATCTCCGTTTATCAAGAAGGCTTTCACATTGAGTTTTTGAAGATGGGCAACTTGATCTTGCATTAGACTTAGTAAAGGAGAAATCACTATAGTAACTCCTTTCGTTTTCCCAGTTCGTATTATAGATGGCAGTTGATAACAAAGAGATTTACCACCTCCTGTGGGCATTAAAACAAAGGTATCTTTGCCACTGAGGGTAGAATTGATAGCTTCGAGTTGATTGGGGCGGAAGCCGCGTAGTTTGAATGTTTCTCTCATGGCAGATTTGACGTCCCTGCTCCAAGGATGGCCTTCCACTGAGCTTATCTGGCCAACATCCTTTTGACTGAGGTGTTTCACCGACGGCGGTTTTGACTGATTTCCGGACGTTTCACGGAACACCTCCCTATTAGGGAATTGAGAGTGGGATTCAGGGGGGCCAGGAGCAGACGGAGCGGGCTTGGAATTAGGAGAATCAAAAAAGTCCTCAAGTTCATCATATGGATTGGAGGCAGATCGATCATCGAAGTCGGAGTCAACTGCAGTTGCCGTTGTTGCCAGGCCACATGGAGCGTCCATGGTTCTAGAATAAGGAGGGTCATCGTCAAGCATATCGACAAAATCCTCGGCATCGTCAAATTGGGTATCCCAACTACTTAGGGGGCTCTTGACATTACGTGGAGCAGAAGGGAACTCTTGTGACCACCGTGTCTCGGGTACTGGAGGACGCATGATATCATTTCTTCTCGTTCCACCAGTGTGGTTGCTAGGGAGTGATGTTGTATCATTGGGCTTTGGTATGGCAGAAGTATGATGGCGGCTCTCATCCTCACTGGTGGAAGCCTGTGGTAGTACAGTTGATTTGACCTGGGAAAAGGAATCTGGTTCTTGATCCGCTTTTTCAAACGAATCTATATCCGTCGTCGAAATATCACAACTCTGCCCTTTAAACATTTCTGACTCCTGTATCAAGGAAACTATTTTCGCTTCCTTCTCCTGTAGCCGTTGGGCTGACTCCCTGATCTCAGTAACCTTGAAGCTGTCAGGAATATCGCCCATCTGTTCAATGGAGGCTATTAGGGCTGACTTCAACCTGTCATGATTCATTTTGGAGGAACAGAAATCAGAATGTAATTCTTGAAGTTCCTCCATGGCCTTTATACGGGAGGCCAGAATCCTGACTTCCTTCATCTTATCCTGACTGTCAATCCCTTCCAAGATCAGGTCATAGGCAGATTTTGCCTTTATTGTCCTGTCGTTATTGAGGGTATTAATTATTCGACGAAAAGATGTTGGAGGTGTGTTCAGGTATCTCGTTATCAGTGCATCTGCCCTCTCACTAGGGAGGGGGTTTGCAGGAGTAGAGGGATGAAGAGGGTGTGCTTGGGTTCCTTTAGGAGGCTGTGCAATTGATGATGATTGTGAAACATCAAGCTTTGGTTCTGATATGACATTACGCTCATTTATCTTCTTGGAAGCCTCCGTGCTTTCCTTTCCTTGAGACAGGCGAGGGTAGAAGGTATCTTCTTTCATCATGTCGAGATAAACACCATCATCTTCAGAGTCATTGATGACTCGTTGCGCAACTGGGGTCTTGGCCTTTTCAGGCCGTATTTTCTCCCTTTTCAATTGCCGAACTATGGGGGATGGGGAAGAGTGCTTCTTTTGAGGATAGGAGTCATCCTCCGAATCGGGGGTTTTCCGCCTTTTCTTCTTCTCGCTGCTACTACTATGTGGCCCCGAACGAGATGCATAGTCCTCTCTCCATAATCGCCGAGGTTCTCCGAAGGTTGACGCGGAGCCTGAAGAAGATAGATTGCGTTCAGCATCTTTCGTGAGATCAACAGACTCAATTTCCTCTTGCTTTAGGACTGAACCAGATATTCCAACTTTTCTCGCAAGCCTTGAGCTGTTGCTACTGGTTGGGGGAGTTATGCTTGTTAGGCTTCGTTGTTTTACTAGTTACCATATCAGCTTATTATCAAGGTATTTCGTCTTCGGATTTCAGGACACACTTCTTATCTTTGGCGTCTCTGACTCGGTTCTATACAGGGGTCGTTTCTTGGAATTCCTTTCTGCCGGAGTTCCTGGTACATCGATTGAGCATTTGGCGCTTAGTGTACTGTGTAGCCTATTGCGTGGTGGGGGAGATGCGAGCTGGAGTACGGCCATTGTATTATCAGTCGACACATCATCATTACCAGGAGCAGCAGCCCGCGGAGCGGATGAAACTTCTTCTATGTGTAATGCAGTAGATGGTCTTTGGCCAAGCTCTGGCTCGATATAAGTCGTCGGCTCAGTGCTCGCGGAATCGGCTAACGCAACCTGCGAATCGAGCGTCACTTGGGGAATCACAAAATTGTCGAGTGGGTTAGGACGCTCCAAAAGCCAGGCCAGGTGAGCCTTTAAATTGTTCTTTGTCATAGATGCCTGTCATATCTCGTAACTTTCTAGGTTTCCCATGCTTTCAAGTTGTTGTTGTCGTCAGTGTTTTTATCAATTTAACATCAACTCGAGATGTCGCGACATGGAGACGCGCCTGTCACGTGATATTAAATTAAGGAAATCATGTGATAATGAAAGTTTACGTAATTCGGAATAAATATATTCACATGAGTATGACTAAGCATAACATTGCATAATCAAAGCCATTAGTCATAGTTTTTACTTGTCCATCTCGTCCAATGAAATCAAGCTTTCGAACTTCACACAATTGATTATCACAAGAAGCCATCGAAGCATCGAGGGGTTGATGGTGTTTTGTTTTCTTCTTTTTTGGTATTCGAATCAGGTAGATATACGTGTCACTTGATTCGTAGAGACGTTACTCTACTACCATGGCAAAAGATAAAAAGGCCAAAAAGGCGGAGCAGAAAGCCCGAGCTGCCGCAAAGCAATCAAAGAAAGCATCTCAAAAGGAGAAGAAGGCTAAAGCCAAGGGCTTGAATGATGACAGTGATGCAGAAGACGTTGACCTTGATGCTGTTCTAGCTGCTTATGCTGAAGAGCAGGCCAAGTTTCTAAAAGTCACTGAAGTTGCGAGCGGCACGCCATCACCCCGCTCTTCTTCAACCATCATTGCTTCACCATCAAATCGAGGGGAGATTTTCCTATTTGGTGGAGAGTACTTTGATGGGTCGCTGGCTACATTCTACAACAATTTATATGTATATCTAATTGAGAAGAATGAATGGAGGGTTGTTACAAGCCCGAACAGCCCGCTTCCCAGGAGTGGACATGCATGGTGTCGTGGAGGGAACGCGGGAGGAATATACCTCTTTGGAGGTAGGGCAACTATTTTCAATCTCATAGTACCTCTACTCTTAAAATTGATATCTAACTATGTTTCATCATGGACAATTGCATTTTTAAACAGGAGAATTCTCATCGCCTAAGCAAGGAACATTCTACCATTACAATGACTTTTGGCACCTCGATCCGTCTACTAGGGAATGGACTCGTATAGAGACCAAAAGTAAAGGCCCTCCAGCTCGAAGTGGACATAGAATGACATATTATAAGGTGTGTGATTTATGTATACCTACCGCCTTAGCTCTATAATGCCTTGCTAATATTCGAGTTTAGAACTACATCATACTATTTGGCGGTTTCCAGGATACCTCGCAACAAACGAAGTACTTGCAAGACGTTTGGCTCTATGACTGCCAAAAATTCACCTGGTACAACCCTGCATTGCCACCGGCAACGCAAAAGCCTGATGCCCGGTCGTCCTTTTCTTTTCTTCCACACGAGTCAGGCGCCGTGCTCTTTGGCGGATACTCCCGTGTGAAAGCAGCAACCAAAGCGAACAAAGGACAAAAAGGTGGCGGCAGTAGTGCTCAACGCTCAGTGCTTAAACCAATGATCCACCAAGATACCTGGTTTTTACGGGTAACCCCTCCTCCATCAGATGCACCATCTACTGCTTCACCAACCATTCGATGGGAGAAAAGGAAACGGCCGGTCAATGCCCCAAACCCCCCGCGCGCGGGTGTTACCATGGCATTCCATAAAGGGCGAGGTATCTTTTTCGGAGGTGTCCATGATGTTGAGGCAACAGAGGAAGGTATAGAAAGCGAATTCTTTGATAACCTTTTTGCGTGGAATATTGAGAGAAATAGGTTCTTTCCTCTTCCTCTCCGAGCCCCGAAATCAGGGAGTAAAAAACAGCAAGCTACTGAGAGGGCCATAAAGTCACGCAATAAGGGGAAAGCAGACGAGGAAGAGTTACTTCGTAATTTAGCACTGTTAGAGGCTAAGGCCAACCCATCAAAAGCTGAAGCCGACTTGTTACCGGAAACAGATGAGAAGGATGAAGATGTACCCGAAACCACGGGGAAGAAATCACTACCTATCCGGTTTGAGATGCCGCATCGCCGGTTTAACGCACAACTTACTGTCCAGGAAGATACCCTGTTTATGTACGGTGGCACTTTTGAAAGAGGAGATCAAGAATTCACGCTTTGTGATATGTATTCCATCGACTTACTCAAGATGGATGGTGTGAGAGAAATATTCTATGAAGAGCCTGAACACTGGAACGATGCGATTGTCCCGGATAGTGAAGATGAAGAAGATGAAGATGACGAGGATGATGACGAGGGTGATGAAGATGAGAACATGGAAGAAACCTCATCTATTACTGCTCCTTCTACAGTCGCAACTGAAATTACAGACCCTACATCCATCGAGGCTGAGGCCGAGAAGGAAGAGGAGCCAGAACCAACTGTAGTCGACTCTCGACCGCACCCACGACCATTTGAGAGTTTGCGCGAGTTCTACAGCAGAAGTTCGACAGAATGGCAAGACATTGTTCTGGCAAAACTGAGGGAGAAAGATAGTGGCGCCGAAATGTCAGTCAAGGAACTCCGGAAGGTTGCGTTTGACTTTGCTGAAGAGAAATGGTGGGATTGCCGCGAGGAGATTACGGCCCTCGAAGATGAGCAAGCAGAGGCGGGAATTGGTGAAGTGGTTAGTATGGCTACTCGGGGTGATTCAGGGCCGAGACGGAGATGATCTATAGAATGATACAGTCCATAACCAATATAAAAAAAAGTCCATAATATATTTTCCATCCCTCATATATTCATTGGCATAACCTATCTAGAAACTTCATCAAGAACCTCCTTAATCAAGGTAAAATCTCTCTCAACTTGTACTTTCCAGTTCGAAATTGCAACCCGACATGCAGGCTCCCCAGCCCACTTAGTTCCAGAGACAAACATCTTGCCAGTACCATTTATTGCACTAGCCAGCCTGGCATTGAGTGCTTCGTCTTTGGCTCTAAATAGAACTATAACGTATGTGGCAGCGATCAAGTCTTCTTTTGAAGCTCCACCTCCGAGAATCGTGTATTTGGGATGCTCGTGGAGCCAGCCGGTAACCAGCCTGGCAAGCCGGATTTGTCTCTCCACCATGGCTCTATAACCGTCTTTGCCATATGCAACAAGAGTCGAGTAGACAGGCAAGGCCCTGAATCGCCTCGAATTCTCCACACCTATATTGAGGGGTGTTGGTATATGCTCTCCGGATGAAGACGAGAGGTAGACGGCATTAGGATTTCTAAAGACCTCCTCTGCAACATCTCCGTGGCGAGAGAAAAAGAATCCGCAGTCGTATGGGACATTCAGTAGTTTATGCCCGTCCCCAGTAATTGAATCCGCAAGTTCAATCCCTTCACTACCTTTCTTGATAATTTCGAACTCCGGGCTATCATCAAGAACACGCCCAAACATCCCGAACGCAGCATCAACATGAAGCCATGCATTGTACTTATCGCATAGTGCCCGTACACGCCTGAACTCGTCTATTCCCTTGGTTGCAAAGCGTCCGGTATTAACTTCCCCGCAGGAAATAGACACGATCGAAGCAAAACCATCCCTTGCCAACTCCTTTTCAAACAGTTCAAAGTCAAACTCCAATGGCTGTCCATGAGATTCACCAGTATTTGATACTATGGACTTGACATTTGCCCTGCCAATTCCTAGGATACCGGCAACCTTTCCCACAGAAGAATGTGGCATGGTAGACAATACCTGAAGACCCTTCAGGCCCGCTGCTTCAAGAACTGCAGGCATACCATACTCGCCCACACTATCTGTAATATTGCCGGATGCGATATCTCCACTGGCACCTCGTTTTTGAGCTGCCTTTCGTAAGACGTACTCTCTTCCACACGCTAGACCAACCAAATTGCTAGCGGTGGCACCGGTAGTAAATATCCCATGGGGCCATTCGTCCCTCTTGAGCCCGAATAAATCCTTTAACAGGCAAAGGGCAGCATAATCCACGTCTGTTGCAATCGAGTGGTCGACAAGATGAACACAGACGTTTTGGTCATAGACAGAGACAACGTTGTCGGCTAATAGAGCTGCAGGAGTCACTCCGCCAGTCACAAAGCCGTAGTAATTCGCATTGATTGCAGAGTCATTCAACCCGGGGATGATATCATTGAACAAATGGTCCTTGGTTTGAGTGTATCCTTGACCAGTATGAGAGAGTTCAGTAATGATGGATGAGCGCGACTGCTCCAGTGATGCTGCTGGAGGGAGAACACTACGGCTGGGGGGATTGAGTGCCGTCTCCCAGAGTTCCTTTGAGTGACTATCGTCGACCTGTATGCCAACGCCGTCTTTTAAATGATTCCGTTCCATATTTCTTTTTACTCTTGGAGTATGGAATGGTGATATTGGCTTCTAAAGTCCTGGCCACTTGGTTTTTGTCCTGTACAAAGGGTGGAAACGCGGGGCTCATCCCAGTTTTATATCAGATTATTTTGTACCGAGATCACCAGGGGCTCCGCGCCTTTCCAGACCTTAACTAACTAGTTCAAAGACCAAGGTACGAACTAGCGCCGGGTAGTTCGGTTATCTCGTAACAAGTAACCGAGCAAGTCAGGAGAGAATCACGGTATTCAGATGCATGCTTCAGAGATCCTGAATGTTACACCTAGCACGGCAGCAATACGTGAAGACTTGATCATATATTCGAGCGATAGCGACAGAAGTATATACACAATGTTTTCCATAAACAAAAAACTCCAATACCGTAAACGAGCGTATGCAACACCGAACCAGGTGAGCGTGAAAATCATAAGTCAAATGGGGATGGGTAAAAAAGGCATGGCCCTACCAGAGGGCGATGGTCAAAAGAATGAAACTGTCATCATTCCAATGTGCTCGCAATACACAGGCCTTCCGAATTTGAATCTGTAAAGGCATGTAAATAGCGCAGAAACGTGGATTCTTAGACTCTGAACTTAGCAGAGTGAGTGCCACCGCACTTCTCAGATCTCTTTGCGCTCTTCTTGGGGCATTTAGGGGACACCTGGGTCTGTGCAGTCACGCCGTCCGCATACTGCACTTGCTTTCCGGGGTCCTCGAAAACAATATCCTGTCCCTCGACGGTGGTGCAGCCATTTCCAACATTGGCAACAAACATGTCAGGGAGAGAGTTGAACTGAGTGGTGGAGGCGCTCTTGCTGTCAACAGTGACCTGCGCACAGTTCATGTACATCTCGCGGTTTCCAGCGAGGTTGAACCAAGACCATGCAAGGAGAGCCTTTCCTGACGGTGCGTTGGCTGGGATGTTGAAGTTGTAGGTATCCTTCATGGGGCAGCCACCGAGATAGGAGTTGATAACCTTGAAAGTCTTGCCGTTGTCGTAGCTGAGGGAGACCTGACAGGATCCTCCGTCGTGGCGGGTGTTTCCAGCAAGTGTCAAGTTGTACTCTTGGCCGGCCTCGTAGGTAGCAACAGACTTGAATGGGTCCTTGTGGTAACCTTTGCAAGGGAAGTCGGCTCCTATAGGGGCCCATTAGTATCCGCACGCCTCATGAATGTGTCAATTGGGTCGAGCTTACCCGAAGGGTTAAGAGGGCCAGTCATGGACCAGTCAGGGTTGGTGTTCTCTATAGACATTATTAGCACCGTGCACATCCGGGTCAATCACAGCAGGAAGATGGCCATTCATACCCTTGTTGAACTTGCTTCTCAGGGCATATGGCCACTGCATTTCCATGTGGGCCATGGCAGATCCAGCTGCGCAAAGGGCATAGAGAGTGAATGTAGAGGCACGCATATTGGCAGATGACGGAAGATCAACTTCGCTTGTAAGGAGTGTATAGAATCGAAAGAGTGGTGGAAAGAGAGGAAAGAAGGAAAGACTTTTTGAAAATGTACTGCAAGAATGGAAAAGATCGCTATGCTGGACAAGAGAAAAGGGCCGAAATCACTGAGGGAGACATGTTCCTTTTATGTCTGGTGGATGGCGATATTCCATCAGACTTACGCGCCCGAATCCTTCGTTCTCGCAGGGCAGACAGGCAAGTCTGCAGCTTTCCGTCTCAGTTGTTGTAGATAGCGCTGCAATTGCATAAACATGAAGTTGATATGCAGCCCGTTGCCCCTAACGTGTCATAAACCCCATGTTAACTGCACAGTGGCCACCATGATAGGCAACCGGCTCTCCAAACCCTGTCCTTCCGGGCGGTTCGGCCAAAGACAACAGTGTTTCTGCTTCAGATCTTGGGCTCACTTTTGGCCAAGAGGGCCTGACGGGATCAGCCGTCGTGGAACTCGGGACTCGCTGACTGGAGGGCCCGGAGCCTATAGATTGCCACAGTTCCTGGTATCCCCTTCTGTCCAGCAAATTCCCGAGCCAGGGGTGGGAATAAGAATAGCAGCAGCACGGCCCTTGATACTGGCGGCTGGTTGATATGCACCTTCAAGCGCCGATATCCCTGGTCGTTTTGGCTTCACAGTTGGGAGTCCCTCGTGAAATATCGCAATCTCACTGGATGTCTAAATGCAAGAAGCTTTGTGGCCCTTGTCACTAGGCAAGGGGGATTCAGCAACCCTGTGATGGGACCATCGTGGAATGGTCCAGTAAGAGCCTTGACATCGGTTAGCAGATCTTATCTTCCAAACTTGACATGGGGTATCATATGTCGGCAAATACGAAGGCGTCGAAAAACAAATTTCATGACGTCAAAGTGCAGAATCCACTAAGTGCAGAAATCGTTGATTATTCCTTGTTTGTGGGGTGTTGGAGCCGGCGTTTGGCCAGTGTATCGGATATAGAATGCGCCGCTGCCGCCACCTCCTTTATTATTTCGCTTAGGTACCTATTAGCTAATTAATAAGTATTATTCTATAGATAAATAACTATAGAATAGCCTACTATCTTCTAGCTTATTATTGTTATTTATTTCTATATCTATTTATCTACCTTTCTAATATTTAGTTAAATATTAAAGTATTTATTTATTACTCTATTATATTTAGAAGTTTAGATTATATAATGATTTTTTAAGCTTTTAAAAAATTATAAAGCCTTTATTTAATATCTAGTTAATATTACTAAATTAGCTAAATTTAAATATATTTGAATATATTAATCCCCCCCTCTTCTACTAAATATATTATATATACTAAAAATCTAAATTTCTAATAGGCTTAATAATAATTAATTTAATTAAATTTATTAATTTAATTAGCTGAAAATACTAGATATTTTTAAGCTTTAATTATTAGGTAAAATATTAATATTAATAAATGAAAAAAATATTAATTATTAGATAATATATATAATAAAAATATTATATATTTAATACTTTATATATTTTATTAATAGTTTAATTATATTATTATTAAAAAATTAAATCTATTTAGAAAAATTTAAAATAATAAATATTTATATTATTTATTAATTAAGAAACTAGATCTTTTATAATATTTATAAATATATAGAGATTATTAACTTACTAATAAATATAATTTAAAATATAATTAACTTTATTAAATAAATATTTTTAAAAATATTATTAATTAATATTTAATTTTACTAGTAGAACTATATTATATTAAAAAGAATAAATTTTATAATTATTCTAAAATTTAAAAAGAAAAGACTTAAGCCCTATAATTAATTAAAATAAATAAAATATCTAATATATTTAATTAAATTTACTAATTACCTTATATATAATATTAAAAATAAAATATTTATATAGATAAATAATTTTATAAATTAAATTAATAATTATAATTAAACTAATATAATAAATAAATATTTTATAAATTTTTATATAAAAATAAAATTAAAAATATAAATAAATAATATTATAATTATAGTTTTAAAAAAAATTCTAAATATATTAAATAACTAATAAAAATAACTAAAAATAAAAAATTAATCTCCAAAAAATATAATAACTAAAAAATATTTTAAATATATTTTTATCATATATTTTAGAAAAAAAAATAAAAAATATAAATATTATAAAAATATATAATATAAATTAAATAATTATTTTTATTTATATATTACTGAATATCTAATAAATTAAAAACTAAAAAACTATTAAATATATAAATTTTTATATTAAATAAAGAAAACTAATAATAAAATAAATAATATAATTAATAAATTTATAGTAAACTTTATTAGTTTTATTATTAACTATATAATTAAAAATTAATTAATTATAAATACTATTTTTAAAATTTAAAAACTAAAATATAAATAACTAATATTAATAATATATATAATATCTACTCTAACTTTATAATATTTATTAAATATTAACCAATTTAATAAAAAAATATTAATAACAAGTAAAGCTTATTTATCTCTATTATAGAATAAAAGAAAATATCTATATTATTACTACTAAATAATAATAATATAAATAAATTAATTATTAATTATTAATATTTACTAAATATAATATATAATTTACTTTTTAAATAATATTTTAAAATAAAGAATAAAGTTTATATTTTAAAAAGAAATAATACTATATATTTATTATAAAATAATTTTTTAATTAAATATATATTTTATAATTAAAAAATTATTATATTAAAAATTTATTTAAATAATAAAATTATAGCTACTATAATTAAAACTCTAAGTAGAAATATATTAGTAGAAAATAGTATTAAAAATTTATTTATTATAATTATTTTATATATTTATGAATAGTGAAAAATATAAAACTAGAATACTTAATAAAATTTTATTATAAAATTTATTTAATATTTGAAGAAAAAAAC